AATGGTTTAGTAATGAATAATCACAACCAAGAATATCCACAAAGAATGTCCTTCTTTTATTTTATTTTGCTTTAAATATATTACTTCTGTATTACTATTATTATTGATATTTAAATTATAACGAGTCATATTTTTAATATGTCATATATGGCATAAAGTTCTTCAAATAGAGTATTGTCTATTTTCCATTCCGTCCGACATCAGCCATTCAACCAGCCGTACTTTACTATTTAACAAAACAAAAGCCATTCTGTAACATCAACAATATTTTAAGATTTCTACGATTTAAAAATATACACACAGAAGGCCCTTTTACTTTGCTTCTCCTAATATTTGTATGTCTTTTAATATATTCACAAAATACATATTATGTTCTTGAAAATTAATATTATTGTTTTAAAGAATGTGTATGTTTTTTTTTTATATAAACAAAAAGTTCGTCCTACTACATATGATTTGACAAATGTCAACAGAAGTTTTTTTTAAAACAGCCGCTTGTCGCGGCCGCTTGGTATGATAATCTGGAAATGTTTACTCAGCAATAAAGCCGGCTGAAGCACACTAAACTATGAAATAAAAAGTTTAAAAAGCTCTCAGTAGATCAAACAACTGGAGTAGTGTCGGTCGACAGACGGCTCGGTGTAGGGTTACGGCGGGTCACATTTGTCCCAAATAATAAACTCCACACTGGTGTCAAAATGAACACTTTTTATTATCCCATCAACCCGTAAACTTCAAACTCTGAAAGACCATGGCTGTATATTAAATCAATTATCCGCGAAGGTTAACCGTTCTTTCATCTCACCGATTGTAATTTTCTTTAAATCGCTATTCATTTATTGTAACAATGATTTGTATATTGTAGTTTCTCAGCTGTTTATCCAGGTTTACTTTGCAATTAAATTGCGCTGTGATTATTTTAGTGTTGTCCTAATTTCTGTTTAGGTTATTTTGGTAATCGTTTTGCAATACTGTTATTTGTGCTCATTTATAATTTCAGCAGTATTCACTATGCTGAAATCGATATCAGTAATAGGTAACGAAAGATCTCTAAAAATATATGTTGTTAACAAAATAGAATTATTTATATGGCTCATTAAATTTAAGTATACAGCAGTATACTCAACTGTACCGTTAATAATATTATAATAAACCTATAAACATTAATTTTAAATATTAATTCACATGGAAACAAGTCTCTATGGTTAATCAGAAACGGGAGAGAAGATATTTAATTTATCTCCTAAATCTCTTAGATTTAACAAACTTAGGTAAATTCAATTAGGTGATTAGTAATTTAGTAATCTATATTATCCTAATTGGAGTTTCTTCATAATTACTAATATATTTTATTCGATAGTTTAAACCAACTTAAAAAGGGAAGGTATCATTACTTTAAATAGGTATTCTTACTAGGTACGTAATATGTAAGTATAATTAGTGATTGTATTTTCTATTCCTTTCAAATACTATGAATGTCATCTTGAAGGATTTTGAATTAATTTCATACTAAAGTTATTGAAGGTCTTCGCTACTAAGAAATAAAAAAGACTTTAGAAATAATTTCGTTTCTTGAAACTATTATTATTGTCATTGAAAAGCATTTATATTTGTAATAAAACAATAAAAAACTGAACTCGTATTACTAAAATCACAAATTAAGAGCAAATTTTAGTAGAGATTAAATGGAATAAATATTATTCTTTTAATAAAACGTGAACATATTTATAGCTGCCTATCACTTATATGATTTAGTGAAATGATATGGCGGGGACTTAATACGGATATGCGCATTTGGAACAACTGAATTGGTAAGGTACGGAACCAAGTAGGTTATCGACCTATTTGAGTTTAGAGATTTGACTAGATGGTCACGGCCATAGGTGAAGACTAAAGACTAATACGAGTTGCATCTAAAATTAACATAACTGGATTGTCTATTAAAATTAATATTATAGAATATAGTTTTAATATAAAACTTAGTTGTATTATGTTAAGATGCGGATACAAAGTAGTTTAAGGGCGTATCCTACTTTGAATTATTCATGTACAATTGTATTTAAAAATCTATTTAACATCGTCGACTGAAATGTTGTTGTGATATATTTTTGTTTTAATTGAAACATTATAAATATAATCCAATATTTGATTGCAAAATGATAAAATTTTGTGAACCTTTAAGAAAATTACATTATGTGTTTAGATTTTTGTTTTTCCAAAGAAGAACATTTTTTTATATAAAGTGTACAGAAACTAGAACGTCGTATGTTAATAGTTATTTTACACATGTGCGATGATACAACTAAAATCTTCCTTGAAAATAAATCAATATTACATTCATGCATAGTGTATTGTTACATAATTTATCTAATGTTTGTATAAGATGCGTTTCTAGACACTTGAAATTTCGTTGCCTTTATCCCAATTACCGGTAATAAGTCAAATCTTAAATATGTACCAATGGATTTATTGGCCTGTATTCTGTTAAAGAAACATCGGTATTATCAAAACAATAAATCTATTATAAACGATAGAAACAGATGACTATACAGACTATGTAGTATGTACGTATTAAATTTGTGTTTTAAATACCTTCAGACTTCACAGTCTACTTGCTTTAAGACACCAATAGATTAAAAACCTCTTATGTATTTAAAATATGTAATTTCTACAACCATAGATCTTTTTTGAGCAAGTAAATTCAATAAAATTAGGTTTTTTCTATTATGATAAAATAAAATCTTAAATCTTATAAGCTTTGACGCCAGCCATCTTGTTTGATATTTTACGTGACAAGAAATACATCTATGTAAAGAATAAATAATTAATTATTCATATACAGCGGAGGCTGGTAGGAGAATAAACCATTTTCGAAGACCTTAGTTACGTGATGTTTTAAAATGAACATAATTTCATAAGTTTTATATATGTTTGTTTACAAAACGTGCAAATCTTCTAAACTATTTTGATCCAATAAAATATTTGTATAAACAAAAAATATTACGCCTGGGTAAGTGGTCATGTATCAGTGTATGGGGAGAGACGCGTGGGCAGTATCTACAAAAAAGCATTCGCCCTTGAGTTGGCCGCAGTGTTTATTTGACTGTCGTCTAGCACTTAACGCCTTGGATATTAGTTATTTTTGCATGTTACAACAACAGAAATATCTACTCTAGATAGAAGTAATAATTGAATTGTCCTGTCCGAACAATCTTTTTATTTGGAGCCTGTGTTCCTATTTTTAAACCTCATTACTAACAACAATAAATATGTTTGTTTAAAACGATACATTGTGAAATATTAACGATCAGCAATGCAATTATTCTGTTTCATAAAAAAGCGTGATTCATATAACAGATAATTTTAACAGTAAACACTCGGATAGAATTTTATTTGTATACATTATTCAATCTTTTACGTATATTACGTGATTATTTAAAACCTCAATGGAGATAAAATTTACACGGCTTTCATAAGATAGATAAAATAGAAACAGTGAACAGTAGCTTCTTAAGAATTGCTAAATTATTGGAGTTTAATGGAATTTAGCAATATTTTAGTTTGAAAATTAGCACAATTCAAAGCATTAATTACTGTAATATATTATTAGCCAGTTAAGGACTTAAGAATTTACAACCAGACGCTGTCTTCCTATTTGGTGTTGTGAAAGAAAAATGCAAGAATCCAATAGTTTATCCGTATAAGGGCGACGGAGTGACACAGGCATTTTATGGAAACTGTACACTGTACAGGCGACTGACGTTAATTAGGTACTACATTCACGAAGGTTCCCACTGGCTTTTATAAATACCATTGTGTTTGTATTAAAAAAAAAATGGCTTGTTTTCAAATATTTAATTTTATTCTTAATTTTTTGCATAGAACAGAGAAAAAATCGATAAAAGTTGGCTTTAAATAATTTAACTCATTTCTATTAATATTTTTATTACATATATATTATTGATAATTTTTAAGTTTAAACAGTTTTATTACAAGTACGAAATGTGCAAATATATTTGAATAAGTACTAATACAGACGGTTTTATATACTTATATGTAAATAACATATAGTTGCCAATTAACGTGCTTCAGTGCTTGACAAGTTTCGCCAATCACAACTTTATAGTCATCAATTAAATCTGCTGAGTTTTTTTTTTATATTTGCTAAAAGATTAAAAACTGGAATGCCGATAAAAGTGTCATCATCAAACTTATTTGTAATATTATCTTAATCTTAAGTTCGAAGACATTTCTTACAGTAATAAATCACTGACCTCGGGTTAAAATAATTCATAGCCTTATTGTGTCCCGGTGTCGTCGTCCGTTCTTTATTATCTTCCTCATAACAAAAATATTATGATAAATCTCTATATTATACTGCGTTATCTTGTATGGATTATTCTATAGGCCTACGTGGTTTTAGGTCAAATTGATGACAGTTAATAAAAAGCTGTTCCTAGTTAAGATAAGCCTCATATTTATAAGAATGGTGTAAGTTGTTTTTAATAATGACAGCAATCTGTTACTTTGACACCGCATTTAATATACATTTTTTATGGATTGTTTTTGTATGGTTTTATCCTAAATAAAATATGTGAATTCCATTTGAGTGAAAATACTACATTATTTTCATTTTAAAGACGACTTGGATTAAGGACGAAGTTCGACTAACAAATGGGCGGACCTCGCATATTCACACTGTGGATAATATTGAACTTAGTGTATGCACAAATTGAATAGTCTTGTTATGTATTAGACGTTATTATTAAGTATGTCAAATGTTACTGAGTTTGACATTACTTCATTACCATTCAGTACTATTGAAGTCAACTAATGAAATGGATAGAAAAGGATTTACTATCAAACATCTGTATAACGATTTATTCCGTAATAATAGTTTAATACTAACCACGACAGCTTGGAAACGAGCGAATTATATGATAATTCTTATAGCTGGTATGTTTAAAGAATTAACTAGAATGCAATAACATTTATCAAACCGAAGCGAATGTACTGGGAGCATGTCTGAGGACGTGAAGACAATCATGTAGTGAAGATGTCTGCGTTATCTCAACTTTTATCTCGGTAGGTGACCCCACTATCATTGGGTCCCGCCCGCCCATCTCCCGAGAGAATTCTTGCTCGAATGCAAATAAATATGAGCTGCAGTGTATGTATTAAAGAACGTAAACCATTAATTTAGAAACGACTATCTGTCTCTCATTATTTACGGTCAGACCACCTTGTCCGTGTATTAATTGATCGTAGGATAAGCTTTTCTTGTAATCAAATCTCTGGGAATGTTTCTTTTGCTGATGATTTATATTCTAAGTGAAACGAGTTGGAAAGCCGGCAATTATGATTGTAATTTATATCGATAGAAACTTATGCATACAGTAGAAAAGCTATTTAGTATTTTCCATATCTAAAATATTAAACAAACAAGAGTTATTGGAGTTTTTTGGGTTTTAATTTGATATATCTACCCAACAATGACATGATTCAAAAATATTTATCTGATAAGATGCAAGATAAATCATTACAATAATTCCTTTTTATCCAATTTCATGTTGCTCAGTGGGGGTTTTTGAGTCACGCAAATTATTCTCATCATTAACTGTTAGAATACATTAACAAAAATACTCATAAATAGTTAAATATTATACCTATAATCTCATATATAAAAAAGTGTTTTAATTACATACAATATAAAAGACATTATAATTTTAAGGTGACTGTGAATCTATAAAGAGTGTTCGAACATTTTTTCTCGACGATTGGTTTTTTTTATAACAAAAGGATATAATTAAAATAACGCAGTATATATACATAAGGCCGAGGTAATACACAACAATGGTGTGGGCGATGTTATCAAAAATATAAATCAATATGATAGCGAAGACACCGGACATGCCCGGAGGGGCCGCTCGTACAGCACGTGGGGCTCACGAATATGCACTTACTGTGTCAAACGATACCACATTTAAAACAGTAGTGACATTGAGAGATTATTAATATTGAGGATGTGATGCTATCATTCATATACACTTATCGTATATTTAATTAAGACTTTCATGATTAATAAGTTTCATCACAATGATGTATTGATTAAAATTAAATTATTTTTCGGTTATACCACGCTGTTTCTTTTTATTTACCTTTTCTCGTATACGTTATTGGACTACAAAAGATCTTACTAATAAAAAGTACGATATTTAGCTTTCGATATTTGGTCTCATTCATATATTGTTATTTATATCCTTGGTGTATCTGATTAAGGGCGGAAACAATAGAGACAGAGCACACAAACAAGACACCCTTATGGCGTAGTTTTGCAGATTTAACTTTATTGTTACCCAGAATCAAACCATTAATACCTCTTCCTCCACTAAACGTTATTTAATTCATTTAAATGCCCGCAATACTTAATTTAAAAAGCTGTTAATTTGTAGGGACGATTTATGATGACTATAATTACCGAATCATTGAACAGATATTATTTATGCCTTACGTGTAAATTAGAAGACAAACGGTTATGTTTATTATTCATAGTGTTTCGGACCGTCATCCCAGCCTCAAAGACATTATTAAAAATAAATTGATTTCTACTAAGGAATAGCCTATCCAGAACACGTAAACAATATCACTAAAGATAAACAACATGAAGCGAATTTTAGAATATTTTTGTCTTATTCCTGTTTCATAATCATAAATCTTTATTTTTAACTCTCGTCATGACAGCAGCTAAAATATTCGCAAGATTCATTCAGTGTTATTATAAATCTATACATATAATAAAATTGTAAAAAAGTGCTATCTGTACATTGAAAATAAAAATAAAAAAAATAGCAGGGGTTATTGTTATGTCGATGTCGAACCCAAAAATGTAATTAACTTTTTTTTTGGCTGTTTGTCTGTTCACGCTAATCTCAGAAACGGCTGATCCGAGTTGGATACGGTTTTCACGAATATATTGTGGTATGCTTTAATTATGCTTTAGTGTTTGTTTCATGTCAATCGGTTCATAAATAAAAAAATTATGTCAAATTAAAGAATCACGTCGAACGAAGTCGCGGGCACAGCTAGTTTTAAAATAAATTTGCAATGCACTACTTTTTCATAGCAACACAATTTAAAAAGTAATTAATGTCGCAACTCACAAATTGAAAATTGTTAACTGTTATTAAAAATTTCATAAAGTGAAAAAATTACATACTTTTTTGCTCTTAACTTAACAGGTAAAAGACTCAGCGGTTAATGATTATTAAAAACTTATCAACTATGTAGTTTGCCTGCTTTAGTCAGTAATTTCATTCATTTGCTTTACCGAAATTTTAATTCCTCATGTAAAATCTAAGAATTTGAATTATTTTATCATGAACACGAATTAGTTAGAAAAAAATACTTAGTGCAGCAAAACGTGTTTTTGATAGGAACAAGACTCTAGTATAAGTTGGGAAATGGCAATAGAATGCCTTCAATTTTGTTTTCCATATAAATTTGTGTGTTCCTAGTTTTGGCAAATTATTATCAAATAGGTAATTCAATAAATATTTTTTTCAACAGTTTACCTTACGAAACATTGACTTGCATTTATAAGTTATAAATGGTAAACATTCGTTAAGTTTTCCTGATATCAGAAGCTTGGGTCAAGAGGTCGGTCGGTGAACATACGAATAGCGGTATTTTGATAAAAGTACACTAATTTAAAGTTATAAGAATTTTAAGGAGTACAACTATAGACGGTGTTGTTTGTAATTAAAAGGACCACTGTCAGTTTATCATCGTATGGTAATACAAGTTATTTTGTATAAAACTTTGCTTGATGTGACAACGTTTCGTATTTATTTTTATTCTGGATTTTTAACGAGACAAGTTCTGACTAATATAGAATGCTTATGTCAAAAATCTAAATTCGGCATTCATTAAATTCATTCGTGCACCATAAAAAACAACAAGTTTTTCTTTAAACAAATCATTAATTATTCAGCACGTTTAAGTTCCTTGGCAAAGTAGATGAAAAGCTCTTGATACATCTCTTAGCATTTATAGTCAAAACAGAGTAGATACATTTGCCGGTTAAATGTTTACATACATAAATAAAAAAAAGTTTCTTAAACAATTTAACGTTGCTATAATTATTTTTAATTATGATGATGTTCATTTAAGATATATTCCATAACGAGTCAAGTGTGCAAGCTCAAGATCTCTCAAGTTCTGCACTTTGTATACTTTTAATATCTTCAGGTCAATATCCTTTTTAGACGTCATGAATGAATACAGATGAAATGGCATCTCGTGTCATCACAAAACCTTGATCCAGTTATAGAGCTTAGATAATTTGATAAATACTGTCAATTCATAATGCCGCACTTTTATCACACCTATAAAATGATTATTATTGCTGCGAGAATGTTGAAGCTTTTAACAACTATAGATTATCTGTCTTCTATGCTAAGTTAATAGCAAACTTGTCCCTTTGAAACTCATCTTCGGCAATGTTTTGCATAATTTCGTAATAGCCAGTTAAATTTTTTAGAAATATTCCATTTTTATGGTTTCGCTAAATTAAAAAAAAACAATAAATTTCAAACGTAATGAAATCTATAACCGCAAAACAATATCACTCTGAAAAAACAATACTAACATGAGGATTATTTAGTATGCTACATACGTAGGTACTTCCAAAACATGAGGCAATATATTAGTAACTGAGGAAAAGTATAAATCTTTTATAATAAGCACAAAAAAATTACTATCAAGTTTCACGTAAAGAAAAAAAGATTATGCAATATTTTAAAACGTTTCCTGTGAGAACAACACAAGACTGTGAATAATAATTGTTTTTTAATATATATAATCTGTCGATCAATCAAGCAATATAAGATTGTAGAAAGGCAGTCTCTCCGTATATGGGTACCTTTATACGACTCGACAAAAAATTGAAGCTGGCGTATTCCCAATGCCTACAAACATGGCATTATTGATATGCCAATGACCTTCTAACACTAAACGCGCAGTATGTTCAATCAGATAAGAACAAGAAAATAAATTACAGAAGTATATTTTACAATGATAACAATACTATTATATTTACATCAAATTATTGTAAAGCTTGGAGATTATCATTTAATACCTTATCCTTATAAAGTCTGGTCTGCACTTGAATTTTTTGTTTTATATAATATTTGTTTGAGACACGCTCAACCTAAATTGTAAAGACAAACGATAGGGCAATTAATTATGTTCAAAGGCACCGCAATCAAGTCCCATCATGGTTCGCAAGTCAGTGATCAATAAATAATTCTAAGTCGTGATTTGACGTAAGCCTGATAATGCTGGTGGTTTAGCGTTGATCCGTGATATTATATTTTGGTTTCGTATGTCTCCATTTCTGCCTATAACCAAAACCTTTGAACACTCGTTTTCCAATTAATGCTTCAATGAAAATACAAGGCAATTGTTGAGAAAATCTTGTCAATAAATACGGGATTTACAATACAAATCTCACAGCTATTGCCACTTTGACATGTCACTTAGCTCAAATAAATCCATTGCTAAGCACACATTATGATATTCACGTGAGTTATTCTCATATACAAATTTATTTTTATTTCTTGCAGTTGCTTAGACGTTTTTATAGGCAATAAGATTATCACGATTGATTCGACTAAATCGATGTTCTATACATTATTGTATTCAATGGTATTTTGATGATCCAGAAAATAATCATAAAGTATAATTCAATGGATTTAAAATACCAATAAAAACTTTATATCACTTCCAACATGCTATTTGCATTATATGTAACATTTGAATATTTTATTACGTTTTGACGTATTAACCTTTCTATGGCCGCACTTTGGTCCGCAAGACCCATTGATTTCTTTTTATCTTTTTTATTTGTAAAATTGTTCAATGCTTTCACAATATATTCATCCATACTTCAAAAGACGTAATATTATTGATTTTAAACGGTATTAACTAGATTTGGTTCTTATTCATCTCAATTATCAATCTACGATTATAATTAACAAAATGAAAATTTTATATTATTTTAAATTAAACTAAGTTTTTCAGATACTGCGATACTTTGTTATATCTACATGATCTTGACGTTTCGGTTCCTTTACCTTGATCATAAGCAGATGAGCTAAGATTTGATATTCTCTATTCACTATTTCTTTCATTACCTTAGCATAGCATGATATGTCATGCTATGCTAAGCATGACGACATGTGACGTAAGCGTCACAATGGCAAACTTTCGCTGATTTTGTATTATTAGAACTTAGAAGCTATTGGGTTAAACTTACCCTTTTATTAAAAAAAAAAATCCTCAAATTTGGAAACTATAATTTTACTGTATAAAAATCAGAAACACAAAAACAAAAATACATTTTTTCTTTGAACCATATAATACTTTTAAATCATTTAAACTTATTAGAGTTTCAACATTATTCTATTTCACATTAACTAAACTAACAAAGCATCTTCTATGCGACATTTAACCAAAACTATGGTTGTCATCTGGTAAAGCCGAAGCCGTAGATAATTGCAGTTATATTTTCTCTATTAAATAATTAGAATTGACAAAATAGGTTTATAAAGTTCAAAATTATGGTAAAAGTGCTTTATAATATTTACACTATTAAAATAAGATAAATATGCCGTCTAATTTATGATGTAATTGTGCATATGCATATATTTTTAATAGGTATTTATAACGTTTTACACCTACTTTTAGTGATTTTTATAATGCAGCAGTTAGGCTGAGATCAGAATAGCATACAAAATTAAAAAAGGAGCAACATAATGTTATATGTTTATAGAATACCGTTGCTTGATAAAAAGTAAGTTGTATTGAATTTAATTGTCATTGTTTCAAAGTTAATATATACCTAAGTTACACGGTGTAAGGACTCAATCGTGATAATGGTAATGTATCTAATTCTAACTAATTGAATTACGGAGTCGATTAGCGCTTTAGTAACCAGATAGCGTTTGAATTTTAAACAGCCTTTAAATTATTTCCCTTATTCAGCGAGTACCCCCATCATGTTAAAGTACAAACAGAAAGTTTTTATATTGATCGACTCGTTACTATGTAATTAAAAAAACACAAGAGCCAATGTTTAAGTAAACATTTAAATTATTTTATTTGCATGGGACTTTAATAAATAATTAATGGGACTTCAACTAAATACTTTTTTTTTAATAGTATTTTTTTAAAATAGATCTTGCATTGCGAGTAATTTATAATTAAATGAAATATATGTTGTCAGACATGGTATTTATTGAAGGAATTTTCCATTTTTTATATGATTACTTTATCAGCAATTAACCAAATCCGTATGAAGTATAAATAAACTCTTTTGAACGCAAAAAATGCTATCACGAAAATAGTTTTGCGTTCAGGCAAGTACAAAAAACTATTTACATATATAGGGTTTAATTGATTGCGGTAAGCATATTTAAAATTACTGGTTCAGCGGCTTAAGTACATATATTATAATGAAAATTAAGTTTATTGTTTTTGCACTCTCAAAATTGATATGAAACAAACATCGGAATTAAAAAACCTTTTTCTAGGTTAATCATAAACACTAATTTCTTTTGTATACAAATATTGTATACTGGCATTAGTTCCCTTTGCTCTCTATATGATCTCGGCCATGTTCAACATGTCAAAGACCTTTTTCATTTAGAGGTTTCATTGTTATTTAAAACTTGTGCTTTACTTAAAACGTAAGTTAAACGATACTTCACATACCGTTTTCAGTTCGGGAATTTTTTATATTTATATTGAGCCTTAAATAAAATGTACATCCACATTAGGAGGACCTAATTTAAAATGTCTTAGAACACTTTTTTTTTCATACTTTATAAGTAATTAAGGATTTATATAGACACACATATACATACTCATATTAATTTTATCCCAATTTTGTTATAAATATATTTTTATCTTAAAGGAAAATCATTTATTATAAACTTGTTATCAATATATCAACTACTGTTTAAAAAAAACATATAAGAGAAGTAATAAGAAATGATATTTCTAATGAGTTTTGTTGTTACTCTTTTTACTACAGCAGCTTATCTTTTAAAGATAAAAATAATGATTCAGTTCTTGGAATCCATGTATTATTGATTCTATTTTTGTATTTAATTTATTGATTTTAATAAAAAAAAAACATATCTTCAAATTATTTTTGAATTTCGCATGTTTTTTTCCTTTAACTAAATTAATTATTAGTTGATTGCGATGGTAAATTTAAAATGCTTTTATATTGGTTTTCCTTGTATACTTTTCGGCTATCAATAATAAAAATATTTTGCATAGCTGGCGCGTAGAGGTTTAAAATGCTTTATGAAAATCCTTACATTATTAACAAAATTTTTATAATATACATTAAAGATAGAAGTTTAATAAAAGATTAATAAGCAAACATTTTTTAAAGGAATTTTGAAAACTTATATAAAATAATGAAATTTATATATTAGCTTAAGACACGTGATTACAATTGTTATTGTTTTGGATAAAGTTGTTATTCTATGCATTAGATATTTTCAAATAGTCATGCTTTATCTTCGCAATTAGTAATATCGAGAATAAGACCGTTTACTATGAAGGCTAATTAACGTGCACTTTGTACAGATTATTTGATATTAATTGCTGTTTGTTTAATAATTTATAGAAAACTTAACAGACTTCTAAGCGAAATTATTCATTTAAATATAACCATATTAATAAAATGTTTACGAAGCAAAATATAAATGACGAAAAAGATGTTAAATAAAATATATAAATTAATTTTAAAGTACATAAAGATTAAAATTTTACCCTTCGTTTTCTGTTCGGCTTTTCCGATATGGACGTGTGATTTTTCTTCTTTATATGCATTTTAATTGAACATTTACAAAAACCACTTAGATCACACTTTCACATATAATTCAAATATTCGTCTATTATTCCTTATATTAAATAAAAAATTAACCATAAACACAAGTTAGATAAAACACTGTATAAGTTGCGTGTTCCGTTGCGTAGAACGTGAAAATCCAGCGTACGACGCGCCCGTCTCGCTACAGGCCCACACGATGTAAGAGTGGGCATCCTTAGTTCCCGCCCGCGAATCCACGCGTCTCCCGCCATCCTCTCCTCTCCCGCCTCCCAAATCATTCAAATAGATCACTTTATTTACCCTTCTCATCCTAATTGCTCTTCAGTAATATGTCGGATCGTTGAAAGATTAAAATAGTACCGATTTCTTTCAATGCTCATGATTAATAGCCGGAATTTAAACGGATGTCCAAATTTTTTTGTTTATTTTAAAAAATACAGTACGTTTTGTTTAAAAAAAAGTAATATATGTAGAGTCGGATAAAAATAGTTTCAGTGCTTAATTTCAATAGTGAATGTGAGTATTTTTTGTCTTAAATTTATCATTGAAATTATTTGGAGTGCTACTTAAGTTCTTTACATATTTAAGTTTAAGTTTGTCAGTTAAGTAATATATTTATTTTAGTAATTGCCCTGTGATTTGTACAAAGAGACCTTTCGTCCAATTATGAAACGTATAATCAAGAGGATGGTTGAGACTCCAAAGCTGATATTTAATTAGTAATACAACGTTCGAATAGTCATGTTTTGACAACTAAACTAATTAGATTGTCAGTTAGCATTATCACACATAGTACTCGTAGTATCTCGATGAACTACATCATTCGTTTCTGTTAAGGTTAAAACGAAGTCCTTCATCAGGACAAATAAATTATAAGCATGTACATACTTTTTCATTATAAATACTTTATAACAACATCGGCGGTACGTTCTGACTGTGTGAAAATGGCCTAACAAGCTTGCAATAAACATCGGCTTGCATTGATGTCGCATACAAATCGTTTGTGCTTTCGTATACATCGCGGAGTATCTCATAAGTGTTTTACTCTCGCATACATAATCACGTACAACTTGATGCAATGTTTTATAGCTAATAAACGTCTTTAAACTCGTAACTTTACATACCAAATTGCTTACAGATTTAGAAAAATTGACAAGCAATTCCTATATACAATAGACGTTATTATATGTTATGTAATATAAATGAATTTGTAATTGATTTTGGTTTTCTATTTGCTTTTCCCATATTAAACTTGCTTATTATTATCAATTGTTGGATTGTTTATTTGAAATATTAGGGGAGAGTTGGTTATATCGTACTAGCATTTAAATCGTACCACCTCTTAATTTCCCATTTAATGAATATTTTTTTTTACATTGACAACGCCAAACCGTTGCCCTGTACCATCCCTCTTCACCCACTAGTTTACATCGACGTGAGTTAACAACTGTGCACGTAATAAAAAAAAACATTTTTTGTAGGAATTAATATAAATATTGTCGTACATTCGTAAGGAGATAACTCGTAATCAAGGTTAGCCATAGTTATTCATTTTTTTTTTATTATTCCACAATTGTATACTAGATTATTGGGGGTTTTTGTTGCATGGCTAAGTTTTGAGTTTATGCCGGATATTTGCTTTTGTTTTAGAAATGCCTTAGTTGGTTTAATCGTACCACTTGCAGTTGGTTAAGTTGTACTGGTACGATTTAACCGACTACCAACCGCAAGTACCTATAGTACTCGTACTACCGCAAGTACGTATAGTAAGTACTACCCAAGGCCAAAAACAAAAGTTATAAGAGGAAACGATCTCATTCCATCACCAGTAGCGATGATTCAGGAGAGACACTTGTTGTAGAACTAGATGATGATGATGACAGCGATGATTATCTTGAAAATATATGTCGAAAGTGCAATTATTCTTACTACGATAAGAAGGGTCCAAAAGTTGATTGGATTCAATGCGTTCGCTGTAAACGGTGGCTACATGAGACGTGTACTTCGAATTTTTGAAAACATTTGTCATGATTGTTTCCATTAAGAAATATGCACAATAATTATATTACAAATAACATTCTTGTTAACTGTTACTTTATTAATATAGTTTACTGTTTTTTTTTGTCTCATTTTTATTAGTTATGTTGATTGACCTCATTATCATAGTATAATCATGTTATTTTACTGAGAAAGCTTATAGTTCCTTTATATAACCTAAGAGTTAAAAATTATGTTTCTATTATCTAAAAGATATAAATAATGTTGTTTTATTACTTACCTAACAGTCAAAAATAAATAATTTGATTGAGAATATTAATGTCTTTCATTCAGTGGTACGACTTAAACACCCATGGTACGATTTAAAGACTTAGTGGTACGATTAAAACGACGAGTCGGCTAAATCGTACCGATGGCAAGCCTCTATAAAAAAGCATTTTTAACAATGTTAGAATAATCGCAAGGATCTGTTCTCTTCTTCTTAGGAAGCTAAAATATGAAACTTTATTTTACATATGTATTAATTATTATAAGACGTGTTATTTTCGAAATATTTGAGTTAAAGTGAAAAGTGGTACGATATATCCGACTCTCCCCTACTTGAGTAACAAATAATTACAAACTTGGAAGAAATCAGTGACGTATTCACTTTCTTTGCAATAAGATATATGATTATAGAAAACCTTTTCAAAATGCACTAACATTATTTTATAACAAAGTTAATGAAATGATTACATATGCAGAGAATAAAAGGCTTACTCTTTTAAGATTTTCATTGTAATTTATAAAATATGTATCTAAAAACAGCGTTAAGGAGTGTCTTGAACAACCTTATAAAATACAAAGGAAAGTCAAAATCTATATATATAAAAATAAATTGCTCTTCGTTAGTCTCACTAAAACTCGAGAACGGCTGAACGGATTTATCTTATGTTAGTATTGAAATGTTCGTGGAAAACTAGTATAAAAATAATTTATTTTAGTACAAATATCCAAATATAATTCTAATATTTTTTTTGCAGTATGTTAACTTACGCAATGCCTACTGTTTTTATAACAAAAAATACTGTTATCGTGTCTTCATAATATTATATTTTCATTCTCTTTATAACTTTCAAAATTCAATTTATAATTCAAATAAGGATTATATTCCTAATTGGTTACTTAGAAAATCTTGATGTTTTATATATAGTTTGTTTTCTATGAAAGTATAAAATGAACAAGTAATCTTTTACTTAGTACAGCTATCGTTTCAATATGGTATGAAATTTTTGGGTGTTATTTAGAATGAAAATTATTTAGTTTTTTTTACTCTAGTAAATTTATAAGGTAGCGTAAATAGTGATATAGTACTTACCCTCATCACATGTTTGCATTTTCACGGAAATTAAGCACATGATAATAACGACGTAGGTTCACGAATCTATATCTATAATAAACAATAATAAACTACAATTTATATGACCATCCAAGATTCTTATATGGATACAAAGTAGACGCGCTAGCAAGTAGCAGATGCAGCTAGGCGTAAGGTAGTCTCTTACTTATTAGCGTTTCCTTATAAATTTCGCCAAAGTCATACTTTACAATCGGAATACTTTTTGTTGAGGTACTTCAGATTCGAATTTGAAACGTAGGTACAAAAAGATTGTTTACGACTAAGACGTTCTCAAAACCAAACAAGGCTTACATATACAATTATATAATTTTATTAAACAGAAGAAATAACATTTTAAACTAATTAGAAAGTTCTGGGTAATAATAATTTTATTAATATAAAATTATCCAATTTTGATTATTAACGAAGTTATGACAAATGTCAAAAGCAGAACGATTATAAAACAACTCAAAAGATTCCGAAACTAAGGCTTTAAAAGCTAACTTGAATGAAGCCATAACTTAAATGAAAAAAGAGTAAATTTGGCAGACCGCAGTGAATTTTGGTTAATTATAATTTATGACGGTTTATCTATGAACAGAGTAGAGTGGTTTATTTGTATAATGTATCCTCCGGAAGGAAAAGTGATGTTTGGTTAACAGCTTCCGAGCAACTAAAATCGGATGCCGGATACGTTCATTAGTTTACACTAATAAAGAACATATCGATAATTAAAAAGGTGGTATTTGGACATAATTCAAACAAAAGCATAATCCACGGATATATGATTCATGAACAATGTCATAAATCCTTTAAGGTAATTCCAAATCACGCTTTATTTGGTCACCATATCAATCGTGCTTAGACAATAACATAACTACTTGAATCTATTAGGGCTACACGTAGGATATCGGTTAAGATAATAAAGGTTTGTTAACGTAATGATACATTTTACCTAATGTTATTCGCACTTTTATTAATGGATATAATTGAGAAATTATAATTTCGAATTAATAAGAACTATAAAGCTAGAAGTATGTGAGAAGATATAGTATATTACGTATAGTAAAAAAATGTAGCTCTATCAGATATGTAGCAACAATCTTTTATGACACAAAGAAATAGTCTGCAAAATAAGCATACTTATTTACAGGTGACATTTCCATTTACATTGTTTTATTTTATGATATACTTTCCTGATGATAACGAAAAATTATTTTTTTCTTTTTAGGATTTTAAACAAAATTTCGAAAGTTCCCCTAACCCTTAATTACGATGATGCATTAATTAGAAGTCAATAATTTTACCACTTGTCGATGTTATAGAATTATTTGGCAAATTGCACAAAGTAAAAATTATGACTTCTACAATCACCCCACCCACTGAAGTACTAAATTATTTTCGATCTCTATTATCGTCCTTAGATCATATACGATCCGTGTTTTATTATAGGGAATATATTTTATATTACAATCAGTGAAATTTCTTTTAACTGTTCGTGTAAACAAATCTTTTGTGTTTTTTTGCACCTTATAAACAGTAATCATTGCAAGCCCACGTTAAAAAGCATCAGTGACGCACTGACAGATATTTCGTCAAGAAGGTATTATATAACGAGTACTACCCACGGGAACACTTGATAGTTGATACACTCTGACTTTGATGATTAAATGAAACGGCCTCGATGATTTATTGATCTGTCAACATCTCTGGCAATAATATGAAAAATGTCCATTAATTATGTTGCATTGTCCGCACTATACCTACACGGACAATGATAAATATTTATTGAAAAACAATCGTTACTATCGCTCACTGTTATTTATATGTAGGAGGGCGTTATAAGAACAGGAGGGCCTTCATGGGAACTCATACTTTGAAAGGGATAAAGTACAGTCTATTCAATACGACACCAACTCAATCGAAACACTAG